GAGGGGGCCAAGGCAGACAGAGTGGGTGAAGAAGGATGAATAGGTGAAGGAATGGTGGACTCACCAACGGGCACAAGGAGCTCAGCGGGAAGAACTGAGATTGGGAAATGCCAAAACGAATATGCCAAGTAAATATACGCTCCCCACTGTTTTTGAGGCACAGCAAATAATTCCACACATGTCACATTAGCGCACGGTCAATAGCATAAAGTGAACATTGAAAGAAAGCTTAAGAAAAACACAACAGTACAAAGTCGGCACCGACGGATAGAAAGGATGGGAATACTCTAGTCAAATCAGACTGAGAAGCTCCTCCTTAAGTGTGACCTGCTTTGCTGAATAGAGCCTGCATTGCGTGCCAGTGAGTATTTTGTGCAGGGTTGACAAGACGACAGTCGTACAAGGATTAGGAGCAGAACAACGAGAGTCAGGGTTTCCTCTTGCACTTTTTTTTTTTTTTTTAAGGTTGTGCAGGCCGAGGTATAGGCAGGCCCTACCCTGGCGGCCAGTGCTTTAATCACACTCCCGCGACACACCCAGGGCAGAGCGGGGGCATTCCAAGCCGGGAGACTCCCAACTGTGTACGCCATAAGCATAGCCAGCAGGTCACTCCACGGGCGGGACCCCCCATACAACATCTACACAGCGTTGCGACCGTCCCCCCGTGGGGTACCTGGCCAGGTATGTGAATGCGCTGGATCCCAATATCGCGGATTCCTAGCGCGTTTTTGTTTTACTGAGTGCCAACACACTTGACCGAGAGAACCAGGACTCGATCCCGCTGCCTGTGTCTTGAAACACAGGCACCTGTAGAACACAGGCGCCATTCCAAGCCGGGAGACTCCCAACTGTGTACGCCGTAAGCATAGCCAGCAGGACGCTCCATGGGTGGGACCCCCCATACAACATCTACACAGCGTTGCGACCGTCCCCCCGTGGGGTACCTGGCCAGGTATGTGAGTGCGCTGGATCCCAATATCGCGGATTCCTAGCGCGTTTCTGTTTTACTGAGTGCCAACACACTCGACCGAGCCAACCAGGACTCGATCCCGCTGCCTGTGTCTTGAAACACAGGCACCTGTAGAACACAGGCGCCATTCCAAGCCGGGAGACTCCCAACTGTGTACGCCGTAAGCATAGCCAGCAGGACGCTGTATATTGGTAAATAGCATTCCAATGTCGTCCATTGTCAGCAGACCACATCTGATCACTGTGACGGTTGGTGAGGGCCCTTCTCTCATTTCCTCGACCTTTCCCCACGCTTGTATGTCATGATTGTCTATGTACATTCTGAGTCGTTCCCGCCAAAACCAAAATTTACCCATGGTTTCCAAACAGGTAGATTGCCGATCGGTCCTGGAAACCCTACTCTGACAAGGCCCTGACAGAGAAGGCAGGTTGATACGGTAAGCAGACCCCGACAACAGGGGATAATTTATTAATTTTCCGTTCATTCCGTTTACTCGAGCACGCTGTTGAGGAAAAGGAGGACGTGATTGCCCCTTCATCACATCAGGAAACCCACACCTGCCGTTCATCAGAAGCTTAATTCCAAGACAAGATTTCCACCGCTGGAATGTACACCGGCTATGCAGACTGGCTGGTGTATTGTCAGTACCTGGACATGCAGATGCGACGATACATTCTGGTAATTGTAATTGTGGAATTAGAAGGCAAACATGGAATTCAAGGTGCGCTGTATCACATGTACGACATGCAGTTTGAGGGGGGGGAAAAAAAAAAAAAGGATGCCTGGCACATGGCAACAGTAATTTGACAGAGGGAGAAAAAGGACGGCAGAGTTCTATGCAGGTCATTCGACCCCTTCGTCCTTTGTTGTCTCTCCGCTCAGCCGGCCCTCTCTTTGTGTTCCTTGCGCTCTCCTCCCCCTTCCCTCCAGGCAAGTCCACTCCTCCCTGGAGGGAAGGGGGAGGAGAGCGCAAGGAACACAAAGAGAGGGCCGGCTGAGCGGAGAGACAACAAAGGACAAAGGGGTCGAATGACCTGCATAGAACTCTGCTGTCCTGCTCTCGCATATGGCATCCCAACTGGCCCATTTACGCACATACAATAGGCATAACTGAGGGCTCGGCTCACTGCCCTAAAATTGCCCCTCACCATATCATCACAGCCGTTGATGTAAAACACATCTGCGGGCACAAGCAAGCCGTTAGCATTGCTTGTTTTGCTCCGGTGGAACGGACAGGGAGTCCCCGGATGTTGATAATGTACCACCAACAGAAAGTCACAAGTGCTGTGCACAGTCAGTTACCTCAGAGTGCGAGTTCGAGGAACGCTTCGCTTACCCGGATAACGTAAGGCATAACGATTCGTGCGACTTTCCAGGCCGACAACTTCGTTGCCTTCATCCGTCTGTCTGCAGGATCTCCATCAAAACAAAGCACAATTCCCATCGGCAGCCCACAATCATTTGGGGGGAAACAGCTCGAGTGTACCTACTGGCACTCATAAAGGCAGATTGTGGTTCAGGCCGTAATGGGGTCAAAAAAAATCTCAAAATACATAACGTCCCGTCGAATGGCATTTTCAAAATCTTAAAAAGCATTTTAGACTCGCTACAAAGAATTGCAGATATCGTCATCCATTAGTTGTGACTCGTGAGTGACACCGATGTTTAGGTAAACACTGAGCAGTATAGCGCCTGGGTGCTGATTTGTGTCCCCTTTTTTCCCCTAATTTGGACCTTTTTTTTTTCCTCGTGTCATGCATGTCATCCTTGCGCAGGGGCCATGCTAACTAATCTTCTGTGTATCGTTCCAATTTCACCAGATGACCCGAAGGATGTGTTTATTAAACTTTATTTGCATCCTGAATACAACAAAAAAATGCGAAACTGGCCGAGATGACCGCAATAAACCGGTAAGCTTTCTAATCTTTTGCAAAGTATGGTGAGCTCAACTCACGGGTAAGAAGGACTCAGGAGTAACATTGCGATGCAATTTCTTTTGTGACTGCATTCACGCCCAAGGCTGCTTTATGTAATGAACCCCATACCTAGAAGCTCAAAATAATTCCACAGGCTGTACTCCATCTGAATCAGCGTTGACTCGCACTGCGCTGCCTCCAGTTGCCTCCTAGAAGGGCTGAGATGTCCCAATCTGTGTGCCCAAGATTTGCTAGTGGCCAGTGCGTGCCTGTACCCGGTGGGCCTTGGAGCCTTCTGGAAACGGCACTTCTTCCCAGGGGTTTGGATCAACAGTCTGCTAGGATCGCAGGGTTGGTGTGAGTGAAGTCCGCCACTTTTGTCAGGGGTATCTCTTATCATGGCCTTTTCCGAATTATCACATTTTTCAACAAAAAAAAAAACTATCGGTGACATGGGGAGTCCTTATTCATCAGTGCCTCCGGCGCAGGGACTGTCGGGGTTCAGCCTCCTGACGAGTCCGTGAAAATCCGACAACACAGGCTAGCACAGTCATGCTTTTTGTTTGTGTGTGTGGAGCTGTGCATAGCCAACACGACAACCCACAGCCGTATACACACACACAGCCCAAAAAGAGGCTTCCACTGTCAGCCCAAGAGAGGCTTCCACTGTCATTGTCTAGGACGAGCGGGCGCAGTACAGCAGCAACAGAGGGTGAAGCGAAGGAGGGAGGAAGGAGGAAGGAGGCAGAGGAGCGAACAAGGTTGATCCTTTCCACCACTAAGGCACTTACAATTCTCAAGCTCCTTCTTTTTCGCGTTCGCTAGCCGCCGTTTTCGAGCTCCCTCGACAAATGTATCTGGCCTGTCCATAAACCAACAAAGACAAGCAGCGCAGAATAGAATCCCCGTCAATGGCCAATTCTGCGAAGCTGGATGGCATGTCCCTCTCTTCGCCCAAACATCAACACAGCTCAGCGAGGAACACAAGATAACAATTTTCCTCTCCAGACTGTATCCCCTGTGCCCAAAACAACTGTTCAGCAGGTGGGCCTGGTGGGGCCTAAAGGCCCAGGTACCCAAAGGAAGATGACCACCGGAGCGGTCAAAATAGATGAGAGGGGGCAAAATGCCGAGCAGGTCTCTGGTGGCACATCCATATGTACAGGTCATACTTGCTGCCAACAAACACTCGAACTCCTTCAGCTTCTGTGAGAGTCAATCCATGGAATATCAATTACTTTTGTCATTCTCCAGTGTCCACCGCCTCCTTTTCCTCCTCCGCACCTTTCTTTGTTCCTCTCCTTACTTCTTCTGCGTGTTGCTCTGCTTTTGCTCATTGTCCTGCCCTCTCTTTTCATCATGCTCCTACTCATCCAGCTGCACATGCTTTCAATATTTCCCCTCCTTTTCCCTAACACTATCTGCCGGAAAATGCAGTGTTCTTCTTATTCCTGATCCTTCTCCCCTTCTCCTCCTCTTCCTCCTGTTGCACAGCTACTCCTGCTTCCACTCCCTTTCTTTCTTCCTCTTCCTCTTCCTCTCTTCCTCTCTTCCTCTCTTCCTCTTCCACTCTTCCTCTCTTCCTCTCTTCCTCTTCCTCTTCCTCCTGCTGAACATTTCCTGTCCCCTTCTCCTTATCCTCTTCCTTTCTCCTACAGCTTTCTAACAGAATCATAGGGCGACTGAAAAAAAAAAAAAAAAAAAAAAAATGCAAACAGTCAACACACGTTGATTCAGAAGGGTTTACCCACGTGGTGAGTGTATCAGCCTCTCGTTCCAAAGCCTTGTATTGCTTCCAAATTGATTGCTCTGTCTTGCTGGGCCTTCGGACCTGAATTACGCACAGGAAAGAAAAAGGAGAAAATTTCAGAGAACGTACAACACAGCTATCAGCTCCTCCTCACATCCTCATTTTCTTTTCGAATGGGGTGGCCCGTACCATCGTCATTATTATTATATTTTTTTTGAACTACCAGGTTCTACCCTATATTCTTCTGAAGCTTCTCTCATTAGATCTCCCCCTACCTACCTATATATAATATCTTGTCACACAACTACAAACTAAAAGAGAGCACTTTGCGAAACAAAGAATAAAAACAAAAAACGGGCACATTGCAAAAATAAAAACAAAAAGAAAAAGAAAAAGCAAGGGCAGATTGAAACCATTAAATTTCTCTTTCTTCTCACGTGCAAGGCTCGCCACGTTGATGAAGTTGAGCGCGAGCTGCCCCCATCCCCGTATGCCATAACAGCCCACTTGCACACTGTGAGAGAGGCAGAATGAAGGGGAAGGTGTTAAACACAGGGAAAAGAGACAGAGAGAGGACAAACAAAGAATGGAAGAGGGAAAATACGGAGTGTAGAATGAGGAAGAGGGCAAAGGAAAGGGCAAGAAAACGCTCAAGAATGAGGCTGTCCTTGACGACAGAAAGGACACACATTGTAAGGATGGGGTGGATGAGCGCATGGAAGACCTAACTGAGCATTC